TTGCCCACTACATTGTTGATGGACACTTGAGCTGTTTCCAATTTTTTGCTATTACAAAAAGTGCTGTTATCCTTGTATACCTCTTCTGTTATCCATTACAGAAGTTTCTCTGGGGTATATATCTATCGATAACTGTAAAATTTATATGCACATCTTCATCTTCACTAAGTAATGCCAAACTATTTCCAATGTCAATAGCATCAGCAGTAAATAAGAGTTTCTGTTGCTCCACATCCTTGCCAACATTTGGTATGTCTTATGGTCTGAATGCTTGTGTCCTCCCAAAATTCATATGTTGAAATCCTAACCCCAAGTGTGATGGTGTTAATACATGGGCTATTGAGAGGTGGAACCTTCATGCATGGTATTATAAAAGAGGCTCCAAGAAAACCCTCACCTCTTCCACTATGTGAGGACACGGCAAGAAGGCGCTAACTATGAACAGGAAGAAGCCCTTCCTGAATAAGACCATTGGCACTTTGATCTTGGACTTCCCAGCCTCCAGAACTGTGAGCAATAAATTTCTGTTGTTTATAAGCCATCCAGTTGGTAATATTTTGTTATAGCAGCCTAAACATACTAAGACAATATGTAAATTAAAAAATTTTTGCCCACCAGGCAGTTGTAAAATGGTTCTCATTGGGGTTTTAATTTGCATTTTTCTGATTATTGATGAGATGGAAGCATTTCATGTTTATCAGCCATTTATATTCTCTCATTAAAAGAATATCTGTTTATATTTTTGCCCATTTTTCCACTAGGTTGTCTGACTTTTTTCTTATTGACCTGTAGGTGTTATTAATATATTCTGGATATGAATCCTTTGTCAGTCATATGTGTGACAAATAAATGTTCTCAGCTTGTGATTTATCTTTTCATACTTTATGGTCTATTGTTGTATAAAATTTAAATTTCATTGTAATGGCATGTATCAATCTTTTCCTCTGTGGTATTTTTGTGTGTGTGTTTGTTTAATGAATCCTTTATCCTAAAGTCATAAATAGTAAAAGCCAGCACTTACTGAGTACTTCCTATGTTTCAGTACTCATTATCTCCCTTTTACAGATGATTAATGCAAGGCACAGAGAAATTAAGCAACTCGATCAAGGCCACAAAGCAAATAAGCAGTGGAGACAGGATTTGAACCCAGACAGTCTACCTTTAGCAGCTGCATTTTCACAACTGTTCAAACTGCCTGTTGTAGAGATTGTGTCATATTATTTTAAAAGATTTAAAGGTTTGCCTTTCTCCTTAAAGCATATAATCTGAAGTTGGCTTTTGTATGTGAAGTGAGATACCTGAATTAATCTTTACCATACTATCTTTCCCGTTAGACACTCATCATTAATTAAACTAGTGTTGACTGATTCATGCTAAAGATGAATTTAAACAAACAAACAAACAAACAAACAAAACAAACTATTGTGTGGATGCTGCAAGAGGTAACCCCAGACAAGGTGGGCAAAATGTAACCCCTGCTCTCTAAGTTCCTGGTGAAATCCAGCTTCCAATATTGTGGCACCAAAATAGAATTCCTTGAATTAACTGAGGAAGACAGACTTCCACCTCTTCAGTGCTTCGGACAGGATGTTGATCAACAGCTTTTGGCACCTTGTAAAATGATCAGGATATCCCCTGAAGGAACACACACACACACACACACACACACACACACACACACACACACACCCCACCCCCACAGGAGGTAGAGGCCATCACAAAGCCCTGAACAACCTTCAGCTCCGCCTACACTGCTGGGACCAAAATAGCTCATAAGGCATTGCTGCCGCCTCCTTGTGAACTGTGTGGGAAAGAACACTGGTCATGAAGTCTTTGTTCCAACCGCCCCCACTCACGAGGACAGCCACAGCTACTGCAGTGGCATCTTGGAATCTGGAGAACAACACATCACAGGCTACAGATCATACCTATTCTGCACCAAGTGCTGTCTTCCTCTAAGATTAGAGGTGTTTAAACAAATGTCAAGAAACTGAAAATGATTTTTTTAATTAAAAAATAAAACGGGAATGAACTGAGTGTAGCAGAGTATGGAGTCCAGATCATAAAGAGTCTCATATGCCAGACTTAAAAAGTGTGAACTTTATTGTGTCAATAGGGACATTTGGAAACATTTCAAACGGGACAGTAACATGACCCATTTATTATTTTGCTTGTTAGAGACTATATAACTAGTTACACTCTGGCTGATAGAATATACTAAAGAGTGGTCATGCCAGGCTCTGCTGGGGGTGCCTTCCCATCCCATCCTGGTTCTTTCCTGCCAGCAGAACTGCTTCCCCCTCTGAAGGCTGGAAATGCCCAAGTTACTTTCCCAGTCTCCCTTGCAGGTAGAACATGTACACACGTGACCCAGTCCTGATCAATGGGACCTGAGAGGGAAGGCTGCTGGGAGGATTCTGAAAAAGTTTTTCCCTCTCTAATAAGATGCATAAGAAGAAATGCCCGGCTTCTTTTCTAAATTTGGTCATGTTTGCATGTAATGCCTGGAGCTGCCAACATGAAAAGGGACAAGGCCAATATCTCTGAGATGGCAGGGCAGAAAGATGGAAATGATGACATCATAAAAACCACAAAAATCCATATTCCCTCTGGTGATAACAGATGCTTATTGTTAAAGCCATTTTTATGTGGATATTCTGTTTCTTGTACCCTAAAGCATCTTAACCTAAAGAAGCATTAATAAAATCAGCAATACAAATTCATGTGCCATTGTAGAAAATATTAAAAATAGACACATTTCCTTTAGCTATTTATTTGAAATAAATGAACCGATTAAAAATGGAAATATCTATCATATTAACTGCTTACTGAACATTTTGGGTTGCTCAAGTAAGAAACTATACAACTCTCCAGTGACATGTCTTGTTTTTTCCCAATCTAAAAATGACTTTTTCTCATTTTCTTCTCTCATTTGCACATTTACCCTAAAAAACACTGGAAAAATTCTCTCTGTTCCCCGCTAGTCAGCAATTCTCTTTTCTTGAAGGTCTCTTTTTCATGAAGTCATGGCAGTCAGAGCACGTTGTATAAGAAGAATCTCAGCTTTGTGTAAACAAAAAAAATTGCAAGTTCTAGAGACTCAGGCAAAAATATAGAATCATAGAATTCTCAAAGTGAGAATTATTATGTACCTTGAGGATTATTTGTAGCAATACAGAATTTGAATATAGGTAAACCCAGAACATCTGGTGAGAGTTCCTTAAGACCATTAACAACAATTATTTCCCATGTTAAATTCTCTCTTTTATTTCATTAAATGTATTGGAGTGACATCGATTAATAAAATTACATAAGTTTCCAGTGTACATTTCTATAATACATCATCTGTATATTGCATTGTGTGTTCACCACCCATAGTCCAATCTCCTTATTTGACCCCCTTTATCCTTTTCCACCTCCCCCCACATCCTTTTCCCTCTGGTAACCACTAAACTGTTGTCTGTGTCTTTGTTCATTTGTTGCTCTCAGTTTTATATCCCACATGAGTGAAATCATATTGTTCTCGACTTTTTCCATCTGACATATTTCGCTTAGCACAATACTCTCAAGATCCATCCATGTTGTCACAAAAGGTAGTATTGCATCTTTTCTTATGGCTGAGTAGTATTCCATTGTATACATGTACCACATCTTCTTTATCCAATCATCTATTGAAGGACACTCGGGTGTTGCCATGTCTTGGCCACCATAAATAATGCTACAATGAACATAGGGGTACATATAGCTTTATGAATTAATGTTTTAAAAAATTTGGGGTAGATACCTAGAAGGATTGCCAGGTCATGCTTTCCATAGTGGCTATACCAATTTACATTCCCACCAACAGTGTATGAGGGTTCCTTTTTCTCCACAGCCGCTCCTACACTTGTTATTACTTGTCTTGTTGATAATAGCCATTCTAACAAGTGTGAGGTGGCATCTCATTGTGGTTTTGATTTGTATTTCCCTAATAGCAATGAAAAAATTCCTTTTCCAATTGCAAATAAAATACCTAGGAATAAACTCAACTAAGGATGTGGAGGACCTATACTGAAAACTACAAGACATTATTAAAACAAACTGTAGACACAAAGAAATGGAAAGATATTCCATGTCCATGGATTGGAAGAATCAATATAGTTAAAATGGTCATATCACTCAAAGCAATATACAGATTTAATACAATACCCATTAAAATACCAATGGCATTTTTTTAAGAAATAGAACAAAAAAATCATCAGATTTGGAATCACAAAAGAACCTGAATAACCAAAGCAATCCAGAGAAAAAAAGGACAAAGCCAGAGGTATTACACTCCCTGATTTCAAATTGTACCACAAAGCAACAATAATTAAAACAGTATGGGACTGGCACACAAACAGACACACAGACCAATGGAACAGAATTGAGGGCCCAGAAATAAACCCACAGATATATGTGCAATAATTTTTTAAAAGGAGCCAAAATCATACACTGTGGAGAAAAGAAAGCCTCTTCGGTAAATGGTGCAGGAAAGCCACATTCCAAAGAATGAAACTATCCTAAATTCTTATACCAGTAGCTGGCAACTTTTCAGCAAGTCCTTCTGGTCCCATCTGAAGAAATTCCCATCCAGTCGCAAACACACATCTGGGTCCTCTAACTAGCACTGGAGATGCTTTCCTTCATTCCAGGAAGGCCCTATCAAGTGCTGGCATTGAGATTTAAACTATACAATCTTTATTCTTGTGTGGCTTACAATATTTTCAGAACCCATGACTTTTTCATTTAAAAAATACAAGTGAGAAAGAAACACTGCATGTGCTAGAGAGCTGAAATCCAGGTGCAGAGGGGCGGAAGGTAGGTGCTTTGGGAAACAGCCTATGTCTCCTTTCACTCCTGTTCACTTCAACCAATACTGACTGAGCGTCTGCTAGCAGGGCTGGAAGGGCATGTGGCGATGGCCCTATTGTCTCCCTGACAGGTGCAGGTGACCTGCGCGCCTCCCCACGCCCCACCTCCGCCCCGCAGTCCGGCCAGCGAGGACGCTGTGCACCGAGGCCTGGCGGCCAGGAGGGCGCGGAACCCGCGAGCCAGGCGGTCCCGGGCCGCCCGCGGCGACCCCCCAGCCCCCGGCGCAGGAGGAGCAGGGAGGCGGCGCACCTGGGGCCACCGGGAGCGGGAGCCAGGTGGCCCGGGCGCGCCCTGCTCGCCTCCGCCCCGAGCAGGAAGTGGCTGCGGCCCGCCCTGCGCGGCGCCGCGCGGAGCCGCCGGGCCAGGAGGCGTCGGAGCCCGAGCGCCGGGAACGAGACCCGATGGCGGACCTGGCGCTCGGGGGCCCCGGGGACGCCGCCGCGGCCGCCCTGGATGAGCTGTCCCGCAACGTCACGTACGGGGCTCAGGGCGCCGGCAACGGCTCCCTGTCGGGCGCGTGGTACCGCAGGAACCAGGTAAGGGCCGGCCGCCCTCCTGCCAAGTGTCAGAAAGACGCCGGGCGGTCCAAGTGGGACGAGCTGACTCGATGTTTGCACACATGGCTTAACCGCCCCTCATTGGGGAGAGCGGGGGGTACCCCCGGGCTTCCTCCCCGGCGCATCCGTCACCGGGGGTGCGTCGCCCAGGTCGGCGGGTCTGCCCTCTGCGGGGTCCCTCCTGGGCCTCTTGGTCCCGAACAACCCTGCCTTTCCAGCCTGAATCCTCCCTTTTCTCCTGGAAGGATCTTAGGAGCGTGGGTGAATCTCCTCCGCCCCTGTTCCCCTCAGGATCATTTTACAGTTAAAAAAAAAGTGCCACTCCGTTCTCAGAAAAGGGGGACTCATTAAGGGCAACCAAATGTCACCCCGGCGCAGATGCGGTGTGTGTGTGTGTGTGTGTGTCCGTGTGTCTGTCCCCAGTGTCTCAGTACAGCTCTTCCATTTCCGTGCACTTGCACGATTCCTCTCTCACCGGCCCTTTGGGAAAACATTGTCAGCCTAACAACGTCAGTTTACTCTGGAAGTATATATCTTTAACAGCATCAAAGGAGATTGGAGCTGCCCATTTATTTTGGGCTTGGTTTAAGATCAGAAAAAGAGCTCTGGCGAGGCTTCCTCTAGCCGCATTTATAGTCTTCCAAGTGAGGGCCGCTGATCTTGATATGGTGGATTCCAGGCTTCCTCCTGTGTTCATAAGTGCGTTACTTTGTTCTCGTTATTATTTAACAAATCCTTGGGTCTTTTTATTTTACAACAGCATAATCATAAAATATTTGTTGCTGTTGGTCTAAAGTGGACTTGTAAACCAAAAATCCAAGGTCTAGAATCTATTTATGCTTGACAAGTATTTTCAGTGTCAGTTTCTGAAATGTTAAAATTTTGTTTTCAAAAAATTAACGCAAGATTATTTATATAAAGACAAAGTAAGTGTGTTCACCTTAGCTTTCAACGGGAGAGCATTGCTGTAAGTCTTACCACAAAATATCCTGAAATAGGGAAAATGGGGGGCACGGAGCCCCTTGATCATTGATAACCTATTCCATTTCCCCTTCCTTCCACCCAGAGCAGTTATAAAGGAAATAATTGCTTTTTATGGGAAGTTCTTTATGTTATATTATGCTTTTACTAGTATATGTTATGAGCATGTTATAATGTGCATATGCTAGAAGCACTCCTAATAAAAGTTTAAGAAAGAGTTTTTCTCTTTTGGTAAAGAAATTAGAGTGTTAAGTAGCTGTGACCTACCATGGCATCATCCAAAACAGTAGAAAACATTCCTTTCACAGTGGAAATCTGTCGTCATTAGTTTTCTTTAATGTTTCCTGGAATTCAAGATTGTCTTGGCTCTCTGACACCTAAATACAGATTATCATGTGACACAAATGTGAGGACTTAACTTTATGTTTGCAAGGCTTAACTTGCATTTGACAGTATATATGTACAGTTTAGAAAGGGCGTATCCAGAATATGCGAATTGAAATTACTCAGCTGACATCAAAACTATGGCTAGTTTGAAGTAAGACCTTATCAACTTTTCCCATTATTGTGCAAATTTAGGCTGTCTTCTAAGACCTTCATATTTTCCCCTTTCAGTAATTGCATTTGTTTTTTGTGGTTTTTTGTTTTTTTTTAGCTGAGCCATCCTGCCACCTGTTGGCAGCTCAGCGGCAGCTCAGCTTGGGCTGGGAATCGAACCGGCGACCCTGTTGCTCAGAGCTCGCACTCTTGAGCGAGCTCTTAACCAGCTGAGCCACTCAGCCAGCCACATTTGTTTTTAAGCAAAAGTAAATTTGATTTTTTTTATTCACTCAGCAAACAGCTTATTGAATGCCCCTAGTGCTGACCAGGTCAGTAAAAATAAAATAGAGTTTAATTCTTTTTGACACGAACTGAAAATAGAAGGCTGAAAATGGGGATGGCTCCAGAAAAACAAAATGTGAGATAAAAGTTTAGGACTCCCACACTCAAAATTAGCCTTGATTGCCGGAAAGCCAGAGTTTAATCAGTTTTATCACAACTGAAATATTTGGACAGTGTCTGTTCACTGATAGCCAGCTCTCTATGTCTTTCCAAGTTATAACCATCAGATCTGATAAATTAACCTTATTCAGAAAAAGACCAACTTCCCTGAAACACTTTTATGTAATAGATGAATATTTAACAGTGGCCTCTTAGAATCAATGTTGTCTAAGGCAAAGATGCGAATGCTTCTAGAGGAGGAAATCTCAAAATAAGTAGAAGGTACTAAGTAGGGGAAAAGTAGTCATGGGGGAAATGTTTTTGGGAGCAGGGAAGTGAGGCCTTTGCCCGTTTTGCATCACTCAGGAGTCTGCCTATAAAAGTATAGATGCACTAGAGTTCTACAAAGATATTTTCTTTATGTCTGATCCACAAGTTTTCAGCATAAAAGGATAATGTTTCTAATATTATTGAGCTCCCTGCTTTCTGTAAAGCACTGTAAGGATATTCGACATCACAGTAGTTCCCTTTTATTCTTGGGGGATGTGTACCAAAACCCCCAGTGAATACCTCCAACTACAGATAGTACTGAACCCTCTTATGTACTTTTCCTATACATATATGCCTATGATAAAGTTTAATTTATAAATTAGGCACAGTAAGAGATTAACAATAGGAACATAATAAAACTTTCTGTCTCAGAATATCTTATTGTAACCATTGCTTACTTGAAGGAAATGGCTTGGTGTCACTTGTTTCAGGGATCCCTTGCTGAAGTCTTCATACAGGCTCGAGGCCTTCTGGTGCAACATGTTGCTGACAACCAGAACACGTTTTCTGTTCATGTCTTCCACCCACAAATTTAATGCCTTTTTCATTTTAACTCAGGCCTTACCATGTGCTGTGCCTGTAACTTTTGCACTTTGAGGGGCGACCGCAAAATAGCATGAAGTTCTTTTTCCTTCTTCACATTTTCACAGATAGAAAATTCATTCTTACTGTAGATCTTAGCAACCTCAGCATACAATTTTTTTTCCCCCTTTCCTTAAGTTGAGAACTTTCACCATTTTGTTTAAAGGAAGCACTTTCCAGCTTCTGTTTGGCATATTCAGATTGCCTGCATCACTACTCTTGCACTTTGGGGCCATTATTACATAAAATAGGGGTTACTTGAACACAGGCACTGTGGTACCATGACAGTTGATCTGATAACTGAAAGGGATACTAGGTAACTAACGGGCAGGTAGCGTCTACATAGATACTCTGGAGAAAGGTATGATTCATGTCCCAGGTGGGATGGAGCCGGACACGCAAGATTTCATCATGCTGCTCTGAATGGCATGTAATTTTTTTTTTTTAAAGATTTTTTTATTGGGTAATTGGGGGGATGGGAACAGTGATGGGGAATTGGGGGAAGGGGAACAGACAAGTTGCTGTCGTTTTGTTCTTCAGTCTAGTTGTGGAGGACGTCGCTTCACTGGCCCAAGTTGGCACCATCATTGCGCTCTTCCCGGGTGAGGCAGATCAGTCTCCGGCTTCTGGACGGTGGCCCACTGCGGCTGCTGGCCGCTCACACTGGCTGCTGGCTACACATGGTAGCCCATGGCAACCCACTGCCACAGGGGCTGCAGCCTATGCCGTCGCCAGCGACTCACAACAGCCCAGCTCCAGGTTGAGCTGTTGTTCAGCATCTTAGCTGTAGAGGGCAGTGTCACTGGCCCTCATATGTGGGATCCGAACCGGGGCCCTCTGGCATCCCAAGCGAGTCCTTAACCGTCGCGCCACTCGGCCGGCCCAATGGCATGTAATTTAAAACTTAGGAATTGTTTATTTCTGGAATTTTTAAATTTAATAAATACCCAGAAGTGGGATGAATGGGTCCTTCTTTATATGTTGTTATAGCCTTTGTTGTAAAGCCTATTTTGTCTGGTGTAAGTATTGCTACCTCAGCTTTTGTTGTCCTTGTTTTTTGTTTCCATTTTCATGAAATATCTTTTCCCATCCCTTTACTTTCTGTCTGCGTGTGCCTTTCAATCTGAAGTGAGTTTCTCGTAGGCAGCATATGTAAGAGTCTTGTTTTCTTACACATTCAGCAACCCTATCTTTTGATTGGAGCATTTAATTCATTTACACTTAAAGTAATTGTTGATAGATATGTACTTATTGCCATTTTATTATTCATATTTTTTATTTTCTTCTTCTTAAAGAAGTCCCTCTAACATTTCTTGTAATACTGGTTGGGTGGTGATTAACTCCTTTGGCTTTTCTTTGTCTGGGAAGTTCTTTATCTGTCCTTTGTTTCTAAATGATAGCTTTGCTGACTAGAATAATCTTGGTTGTAGGTCCTTCATTTTCATCACGTTGAATATTTTGTGCCAATCCCGTCTGGCCTACGAAGTTTCTGTTGAGAAGTCAGCTGACAGTCTTATGAAAGCTCCCTTGTAGGTAACTAACTGCCTTTCTCTTGCTGCTTTTAAGATTCTGTCTTTGTCTTTAACCTTTGGCATTTTAATTATGATGTGTCTTGGTGTGGGCCTCTTTGGGTTCATCTTGTTTGGGACTCTCTGCACTTCCTAGGCTTGTATGTCCATTTCCTTCATCAGATTAGGGAAGTTTTCTGTCATTATTTCTTCAAATAGGTTTTCAATTCCTTGTTTTATCTTCTCCTTCTGGTACCCCCATGATGCAAATATTGTTACATTTGATGTTGTCCCAGAGGCCCTTTAAACTATTTTCATATTTTTTAATTCTTTTTTGCTGTTCTGATTGGATGTTTTCTGGTACCTTATCTTCTAAATTGCTGATTTGATCCTCTGCTTTATCTGTTCTGCTGTTGATTCCCTCTAATATATTCTTTATTTCAGTTATTGTATTATTTATTTCTGACTTTTAAAAAATGTTTTTGATCTCCATTTTTATGTTTCCTATCTCTTTGTTGAAGTTCTCCCTGAGATCATTAAGCATTCTAATAACCAGTGTTTTGAACTCTGCATCTGGTAGATTGCTTGTGTCCATTT